CCTGCTGTGCTGCCCAGTCCCAATAATCACCAAAAAAATATTTCTCCAACCTTGGAGAAATTCATAGTTCTCAAGTTGATATCGATATAGCGTTCGGTTTGATATAGCTTTCGGTTTTCACTTGATAATTCAAAATTCGTTTCTTTATCACTTTTTAGGTATCTCCGCGTCGGTTGAGTTAGATGAGTTGGAGAATGATGTTGGATATCCACTTGAGAACTATGAATTTCTCAATTTACCAACATAAAGTAAATCATCTTCAAAGTATCATCAAATAATCTTGAAATAAAAAAAAAAGCAAAGTGATTGAAGTGGCAAAATTACTGTCGGACTGACAGTGCACTGCAGGCTGAACTATCACCTGGCTAAATTGGGAATTTACTCGCATGAGCGATGCAAGATGCAAAACGAGACTGCGCAGCACATCTTAGAAGAATGTCCTGCAATGATGCACAAACGCAAAAGGAACCTGGATGAACATCTGATAACCAACGGCGAAATGAAATCCGTACATTTAGGTTCCAACAAAGATCGTAAATAACAAGAAGGGACAACTCGTTATAATTGTGGCGAAAGTGCACAACATGGGCCTGCCTTCTCTTTTGCGTTTTTTGATTGGATGAAAAGAGAAAGCACGCCCCTGTTGCGCACTTTCGCCACAATTATAACGAGTTGTCCCTTCTTGTTATCTACCTTCTTCGGTTCCACTAAACTTTCTCTCGGGTACTAAATTGATAGACACACTATAAGCCATGAAGGGGGCACAATAGATCTTAAGGTCGCAGTGCTCTATCCCCAAAAATAATAGTAATATATACCCAAAATCGTAGTGTATTAAGTTGAAGTTGGTTGCCTACGCAATCAAATATGTGAAAGTTGAGAAAAGTCTACTCTGTGCACATTCGAATGCATATTCGAATTTAAGTCAGAATTTTGGTACGTTGTCTGCGTTTGCGCGCGTACATATGGAGTTCCTCCCATAAGCACATGTACGTATACGCACGCATACGCCCGTATGGAGTTCCAGCATAAGTATAACCAGCTCTTTAAGTCCGAACGCTGCACAACACTATAGTGAAACAGTGTGTTGTACTTTTGTATTTTTCCCGTTTTTCTAAAAATGTTCAATGCAGTGTTATCACTTTGTGAGTGATTCCTCAAAACGTGAAGAATTTCGATATTTTTATTTTGAGGAATTTTCTCTCGATATATTTGCAGATAACAAATGCAACGATGTTTTTCACAACAGAGTTGTTAAACCGCTCAGCAAATTTTTGAACAAAAAGCTTTCCGAAGTTTTATAAATAACGAAATACAACCATTCTTCCAACCTACTTTTCCTATTTCGTCATACACTAGCTGCACTTTTTTGTAAGCGAGCGAGAACAGAACGCTCAACCCGGGTAAAATTTCTTTTTAGCTACTTAAGAAACCCTCTTGATAACTGGTAAGAAACATGTGATTAGTTTAAAGGGATTTAGACACAAAACCAATTTAAATGAGTAATTATGCGAGGTATTTGCGTATACTTCTGTGTTCGTATGGAAAAGTAGCTTATGTCGAAAGGCTGGCTTTAGTATAATGCGGCATTCCCTTTATTCTTTAAACGACAAAGATTTTTTTGATGAGACTTAATAAGAATATTGACTTGCTAGTATCGGAGCTATTTCTTGCACGTTTATTTGCCAAAAGTTCTCAACGGCTCACCGCCAGTGAGTCATTCGCAATCGTATGCTGCGAATTCCGATTTATACTAAAGCCAGCCTTTCGACATAAGCTACTTTTCCATACGAACACAGACTTATTTAAAACATAAGTCATGTATACAAGGAAACAAAAATTTCCCTCTCCACTTTCCCATTAATAATTCACAATAGAGCAGTTTTTTCACTCAACAACACTACCTTTGCCTGCCGAGGGACGACCGCTGATAAGAAAAAACCTTTTTCTTGAACCCGGGTGCTGATGAGTGAAAGCGCGCACTGCTTACCACTGCACCACAGCGGCCCACTCAGGTTCATATAAGTTTCCCAATTTAAAAAAAAATTATATCTGCATTACTGATACTTTGTTTGAACCGCAAGAATAAATGTACCAATTGAATTGGAGAATGTAATTAATTTCCATACTAAGTACCTGTAAATAGAATGTAGTGCACAATACTCATATCTGTAAAAAGAAAATTTGGAGTAATTTGTTCAGATTTTGAGGATTTTTCATTTGCTTTTGAGGAATTTGGTATATTTTTGTGGCAACATTGGTTCTTTTTTTGCCTTGTGATCAGTGTTGCCAGAAGGAAATGTATCTTCAAAATGACATTTTTCATAAGTAATCAATATATCTTCACATAAAAAAATAAACGCCATACAAAAAACCTTCACAGTGAAGATATTTGGTAGCACTTGAAGATTATTTTTGGATAGTTGGCAACAAACTTTTCGTTTTTATCGTCAATTTACTGCGGCACATGTTTAAGTAGGACCGCTGGAACGTTGAACTGTGTGCACTGTATACACCGGTTTTCGGCAGTTGGTGGTGGAAACAAATTTTCGTTTTTGTCATCAATTTACCTTGCAGGACAGGTAGATATTAACATTGATTTTTATGGATATGTTCTTGACTTGATTTTGCCTGCCTTAAGTGGAATTCTTTATATAAAGGATTATTTAAAAAGGTACGGTCATGAGCGCCGTGATATAGATTTAAATGAGAACAAACATTTATTAAAATACTTTAAAAGTACAATTTACAAGGCTTAAATTAATTACATATGTCGTACCTGCATATCTTTACAGTTCTATGCATTTTTCGTTATTACTCATATATAATAATATGTAGTTATAAACATGATAAAAACATTAGAAGGTAAAATCATTTTCTCAATTCGTCGGCCATGATTTTTTTCTGACGTTTGCAAACATTTTAAAATGATATAAAATTGAAAATAATAAAATGAAATGGTTCCCAATAGTTGTTGTTTGAGATTAAAAACGAAAATGTGAGTTAAAATTTTTAAATTATATTGCTGCCAAACGTCAGACTGCCTCTCAATGATTTTACCTTGTAATATTTTTAACATGGTTATAAAAATACAAATGAAAATACTCGTTTGTTTTGTGAACTAGTCAAGTAAAACTGTTATGAATTCATGAACTTGTTATTTTTACTTATTTATTAATAAAATGTGATGGTTTTATAAAATTAATAAAATTTAATTAAAAAAATAAGTTTTTTTTTGTTATGAAATCTTCAATAAAGAGAAAGAAATTCATTCGTTTTTAAGAAATCTTGATTTCAAAAATTGCTATTTTGAAATTTAGCCTTTGATAATTTTTGTTGTTGTTGTTTGCCCAAAAAAAAGAAGGATACCGTTATACTCAGCTCAATCATCTCCATCGATTCCAACTGCATTTGTTCCGATTTTTTTCTAGTTTCAGTAACCTTCTATGGTTTTTTGTAGATTTTACAACTTGGAAGATTTTATTTATTTATTTATATATTAATATAGAAAATAAACATTTCATATAGACTATTTGGCAAAAAAATAAAATATAAATTAATAACTAATTTAGCATACTATTTAAGAGTAGTTTGAAATTAAACTTCGAAGAGAAATCGTAAGCAGAAGAGTTTAGAGCTCTGCGAATACCAAACTTTCTGGCAACACTGCTTGCAGTCTGTCATACACCACTGTTCTCCTCGTTCGTTCGGATTTCGCAGCTCAACTCGTAGAAATTGTTTTGCATTTGTGTCGGGACGGTAATTTTCTTTTGTGCTATGTTTTTAAAAAATAAAAATTTAATGCTACTTGGCAAAATATCGATAACCTAAAGTGTAACCGTGTTAATAAATGCAGCGCAGTTTAGTGCTTGTGTAATGAAGACTGGCATAGTTTCTATGAATAGAATGTCGACCTTTTCGGTGTTCGAAACAATCCTGTTCAGTGATTAGGAAGAAAGGAAAAATACCAAGTGGATAAGAAATCGAGTGTTAAAAATTTCTTATAAAATATTCTAAAAGTGTAGGATATTTTCAGTTATTTGTGTAGACCTACACTTAAATATTTGGTTGCAAGTGTATAATCGAAGCTTGTACTTACATATGTACAAATATGGGTGTGCACTAAATTTTGGTGATCGTAAAATTTGCTGTGAAATCAAAAATCGTAACGTAGAATAGCCTTCACATACTTTGGAAGTAGACGACTTTATTCTGTTGCAAATTGGCCCTATGCCACATTTTTGCTGATAGTAAAGCGTTTTTCTTAGCATATCAGCAGCAAAACGAAGATAAACATTTGCATGTAATAAATAAAACAATTTAACATCCATTGCTGCATCATTAAATTTCGAAATTCGGAAATGCTGATGGGGCCGAAATGTTTGCGTTTTTCCTTTTATTTGACATTCCTGCAATTTTGTTGTGTTTTTTATTTCGTTTGTCTTTTATTTACAGTGGTCCTTCCACATGCTGCACTCTTTTGAATTGTATATCACCTTCTTTGTTTTTCTTTGCGAACTTGCTTTATGATTTTCGTGTGGACAAAAAGTGGTGCAGCTCGTGAATCATAATTTTAAATATGTAGAATGGACATACTTGTGATTTTATAAGTAAAATATCTGCTGGTGTTTTTATTTTCATTAACTGCAATTGTAATAAAAATGCGAAATTAAGTTGAAAAGTGAATCTGATATTCCCATTCCTTAGCGAAGTAAATTATTTTTTTATTAAGGTTAATAAAATATTTCTTCTGACATCTAATTGGGTCCGAAAAAATATGCCTTTATAATTAAAAATGTACATAAATAGTAAACCTTACATTTAATCAGAGGAGAAAAATCACCATCATCCAAAAGTAATAACATACCTATCGTCACCTTAATTCACAAAATCCCTAACCAGCAATTTTTTTACTTTACAGGAGTAGCAAATAATAGAGGTTGTTCACACTTGCCTGGTTATCAGGTTATGTGGTTATATTTTTTATTCAGTTTACAACAATAAAGTACACAAATTAATTTTTAACCACATAACCTGATAACCAAGCAGGTGTTAAAAACCTCATGAAAATCTAATCATACATACGCATAGGGCATTTTAAAAAGTGGCATAACTCTTGTTTTTGGTACTAACACGTTCAAATTTTTAAGGAAGTTGTATTTTAATATATCCCACCAAAATCTGTGGAAAACGCAGTTTCCAAAAAAGTGTTCGAAACTCCATACTTATGTAATTACAAAGGCCTTATCCAACACTTTTTTTTCGAAACTGCGTTTTTCACAGATTTTGGTAGGATGTGTTAAAACACACCATCAAAAATAAAAAATTTTGAAGTGTTATTACCAAAAATACCGGAGCTACATGCCCCTTTTTAAAAAGCCCTACCTGGAGCGAGATTCTGTAAACAGTTAGCGACAATTTTCGGATCGCTATCGCACTTTTTGACGCATGATATAAATGTTTTTGCGTCAAAAAGTGCGATAGCGATTCGAAAATTTCGCTGGTTACAGAATCTCCCTATTTTGGATACTTATTTTATAACGTTTTTTGCTTCTGTAAAATAAAAAATCGTTAGTTAGGGCCTTTGTGAAATAAATTGATGATATATATGTACATATAAGCTGTTCAGTGCACAAATTGATTAACTCCAGCAACCAAAAGTTGGGAGATGCGATCAAATGTACATTATTTTTTAATATTCCATTTATATTATTAAATCAAACAAATAATGTTATAAATATTATGTACTATTTTATTTTATATAAAGTTATTATAAAGGTAATAAGTTATGACTATACTAAGTGCTTTGACACTTAAATTTAAGATTTTTTTAGAAAAAGGAGTTAATCGATGTATGCACTGATCGGCTCATATGTAAGTATATACAGTTGTCCACAAAATAATAGGAGTGCGATATTTTGACCAGTTTCGGCTATTTGTCTTTTGTTTATTTAATGTTTATTATGTTTTATAAAAGTGTAGCTGATTATACAAAAAACACTACAAACTTAAAAACTTCGCAAATTTTCATTCAAATTTCAAACCTTTTATCAGAATCTTTATAATAAATTGTGGTATGCAGCTCAGTAGCCCATTTAATTCTAGTAAATTGAGTACAACTAAAGTGCAGGTTACAAGTTGCTAAAAAATCCCGTTAATTTTTTAAAATTGTTTTGGTTGAAGGTGTTTCACGGTTTTTCCATACAATTTTCTTTTATATGGAAGACACTGTCTGCAAATAAAAAAAATGCCAAAAATCAACGAAATTTTTTAGCAGCTTGAAAATTGCACTTTATTGTACTAGGACTAAATGGGCTACAAAACTGCAAACCACTATGTTTTCTAAAGATTCTGATTAAAAAGTTTGAAATTTGGCTGAAAATTTGCGGAGTTTGTATAATTCTTGTACAAAGTTTGAAATCTGAATTTATATGCTGTTTGTTGTTTAAGTACCTAGATATTTATAAAAAAATAATAAACATAAAATTAACAAAAGACAAATAGCCAAAACTGGTCAAAATATCGCACTCCTATTATTTTGTTGACAACTGTACATATGTATGTAGATATTGAGTGTTCAGGAATGTATGTACATAAATATATGCATATGTAGAGATTGAGTGTTCATGAATCAACGCAAGCGAAAATATTAAAAATATAATTAGTGCTATAACAAAAGAAAATATATTTAATGAGATATTCCGCAATTGAAATAAAGAAAATAAAATAGCAGAATGCATTGTGATAATACGAAAACATCATCAGAAATAGAACACGTTGATTGGAGCACTGGCACCGGCTCAGGACATCACTATGCTAATGTCAGGTAAATAACACTTCCTCTAAAGAAAGCAAATATCAAATACTTTCTACTTGTGTACTATGTACATACATACATTAGGCTGATCCAAATTAACTAAGCTAACCAATTTATGGCCTTAACAAGAAGAAAATTCTCCGATTTGGAAAAATGTTTATTCCAAGTTTAAAAGGTGTTGGTGGGCATTAAAAATGTTATAACTATTTAACCGTTTGAGATAAAATTTGTTTCTTTGCATATTCTTACAGGGCATTAAATTCTCTCCATAGGCTTATAGTTTTTAAGTAATTTGCATTTAAAGTTGTAAAAAATGTATAATTAAACCTCACTTTTTGCTTTGTACACCAACTGAACTGAAATATCGGTGCTGCCACACATAACATAAAATGCCAAAATAAAAATTAACACCGAAGACGGGAAACAATAAAAACGCACATAATACGGTTTTTTTCATGATATATCAATGTATTGATTCAAACAAATGCGCTGCAGTCTAAGATCGGGCGATTAATTACACAGGTCAACAACGTTTTGTTCTAGGAAAGTGTAGGGGCATTTTCGAAGTAATTTTTTGCGTAGAATCCGAATCCGGGGTTTAAATTGCTCTATCACGTCAGGATTTTGAGATATCCTAACCTAAAAGTGCAAAAACGCTGTTTTTGCCCATTTTTGAGGTTATGTAGCTACGCAGATTTTGCTCTTCATAAAAAAGTAAACATGGTATTTTAAAGTATAAGTCTTCCTCTTTTAAATGCCGTTGAGTTTGCTTAAATATCTTTATTTTTCACTGAGATATCGCATTTTGAAGTTTCCATGTTTGTGAATTTTTCGATATTCGAAAATCCATTGAGATAACATGGAAATGGACCAGGGACCCATCTATTCGAAAAAATCGTATTTACGGTCCGATTTGCTTAAAATTTGCTACCTAGGTAGCTTTTTGCCTAGATTAGCACATAGGATGCTTTTTTTTCCGGAAAGTGGACCAGGGACCGACCTATTCGAAAAAATCGTATTTATCGTCCGATTTGCTTAAAATTTGGTGTGTAGGTAGGTTTTTGCGCAGATTACAATATAGAATATTTTTTTTCCGGGAAGTGGACCAGGGACCGATCTATTCGAAAAGATCGTAGTTATGGTCCGATTTGCTTAAAATTTGGTACGTAGTTAGCTTTTGGCCTAGATTAGACGTGTGTCAAGTTAGCACTACACATTTCGAAATTGGAAAAGTTAAATACGGCATTAATTGTAGTGTTTTTGTTGTAAATTTGTTGTAGAAAGAAAAAATTTGTAGCTCTCGTTTTTTAAGAAAAAATGGTATGTAGTGCTAACTTGACACCATACACCTAGTCGATAGAATTGAGATATCCAGTATGTTACTATGCCATTAATTGTGGCTTTAAACTTTAACCTCGTACACTCGTACAATACGAAAGTAGCTCAGCGAGATGACCTCGGACTCAACCAACGTTGGTCGCAAGTTCAAATCGCGGTGGAGGCAGTTGTGAGCTTTCAAATTTAATGAATTCAAATTATTGCGTGCAGCTTACAATATTTTTTTTTTTTTAATAAAATATGTAACAAAAATGGAATCTGTACAAGAAAAGAAAAATCGAAAAAAATATCCAAAAATCGAATCTCAAATACGTTTTCTTATAAAAGAAAAACTGTCAAAAACCGGTTAAAAACTGGTTGCAAAGTAATGCACTGGGCGACAATTGCCTCCACCAATGACATCGCCGTGTAAAACTGGTCAGTTGAAAGCATTGCTTGGATATTGAGCTAGAACTAGTAACGGCAAAGGGTCTAGTTCTACGCTAGTTCTGAGCTAGTCAGATTTTCATCAGGGAGTGTTCAAACATACCCTGCAGAAAATCAAATCTGACTAGCCTAGAACTAGACCGCCGACAGTACCAGTTCTAGCTCAATACCCAAGCAATGCTTTCAACTGTCCAGTTTTACACGGCAATGGCAATAGCTATCACACCATGTTGTCATGTGTCAATTCTGTCGACAATGGTACGTGCCGTTGTAACCTTTTCAATATCTCAATTCTGTCGACAATGGTGCATGGTGTAAAGTTAGCACTACATACTAAATTTTGTTCGAAAAAGGGTCAACTCAATTATTTCCAGAAAAACGAAAGCTACAAATTTTTTCTTTCCACAACAAATTTTAAAGTTAAAAGCTACAATTAATGGCGTAGTAACATATTGCATTTCTCAATTCTATCGACTAGGTGTATGGTGTCAAGTTAGCACTACATACCATTTTTTCTTAAAAAACGAGAGCTACACATTTTTTTCCACAACAAAAACACTACAATTAATGCCGTAGTTAACTTTTCCAAATTCGAAAAGTGTAGTGCTAACTTGACACACGTGGCTGCGTCATGTCGCTGCTAGTGTGAAAGTACTCAGAAAAATCGGGCCAGTATCGGCTGAAAACGTTTCTTGATCGTTTTTTATATGAGTTTTTGTGTTTCTTGAAAGCTGGATACTATGTTTTATTCTGTATGGAATGGCCAGAGTCTGATTCAGGAAAAGTACGTCAAATAATAATGACACGTTTCAAATTTAGCTTTCCACCAGACACACATGGACACGTTTACTGGGATTTTTTCTTTTATATGACTTTAGTTGACAAACCTTACCGTCTGCATTCGAATGGTCGCGCTATTGGAAGATCTGCCAATATAACTTTCAAAGACAAGGGTTTCCTGAAATCGTTTAGTTAAAAGCGTGAAGTACAAACGTATTTATACATATGTACATATGTCAAAATATATCTGCATGCCTTTATCTGTTTGAAGAAAACATCTCATTGTGATGCATTCAAGCAGAAATGAAGGAAATATTAACAATTTGCCATATAAATAATTATGGTTGTTTATTACTTTGCGAAGCCTGTATGTCATTCTTGTCGGCTTCAAACCTTCATTTCTTTGTTTATTGCATATTTTAGTTTGCAGATAAGATTGCGTGTGTATTTAAATATTTCTGACAATAATATCGTAGTCGGGAAGAACGCAATAAAAAAAATCATAATAAATATAGTCGAAATACCCCTTAAGCCCTAGGGGCTCTTTAATTACTAAAATTTTTGCTTAAAAAAAAATTACAGCAATTTCACTTTCAACGCTTTGTTTAATGGAAAAGCGACAATTTTTATACAAATAAAATACTTATGTACTCAGCGAGACATCACGTTGGCTGACCGAAAATACATTTGTGCGAATATTTCGGAAACCGAGAAATATTCGGTTGGCTACAGGAAAACAAAAGAAATAATTTGTCCACATAGAGAGTAGTCCGGAAGAACCAAATCTAGAATAGTGGTTCATAAAATGTCTAACTACTAAGAGTAGTTTTCATACTTAATTCGGCATTATTTTTTCACAACAAATTCACAAACAGCGTCTCAAGGCAACACTCGATTGGTTTTATAGCAGCTTCAGCAAAAATGAAAATTGCTAGTGCATAACGAGCAGATTGCGATGAAGTTTGATGTGTTCGATAATCAAATTTGAACGTTTTTCTGAAGCATTTAAAAGATCCTTTGAATAATGTCGATGCGCAGAGATGAAGAAATAAAATAAAATCTAGTTTTGAAACATTTATTTATTAAAAAGCTGTTTTTTAAACAAAATAAATAAATTTACATAATAAAACTTTTTTTTTTGTTAAATAGTCCGAAGAAGATGTATTGTTAGATATTTCGTCATTAAAGCATAGTTCGAAACCAGGATTCGGAGAAGGTTGAATGGTCTCATTGCCCTCACAATGAAAAGAGTCACAATTTTCCGGAAGTGAAGTATCTATAAGTAACTGTGGATACAAAACTATCGTGGAAATCTAACGAGGAACACAAAACCTCTAAAGAATGCGCAGCATTTTGGCAATGTAAACTGGTCTTTCGGAAAGCGGGGGGTGTGTCACCATAGGGAATCCTCTGGATTTATACCTCTATGATCAGACCCATAATTAGCTATGCGTCAGTGGTATGATGTATGGATTCTCAATCAAGGGCGTGGGAAGTCTGCTTCAAAACTTCAAAGAACTACTACCGTGTGCGGTACGAAAGATTTCTCTACAACACGTGGCGTTTCTCTTGATGCGCTGCTGCACTTACCGTCACTTTGTGTCTTCATACGTGGGGAAGCCTTAAAGACCACCTGCAGACTAAAAAGAAACGGATGTTGGTATAAGACTGAGAGGCAGATCGAATATTCACTTATTGCTCCAAAACTGAATCTGGGTCAGGATCTGAGGTCTTTATCGGAGTTAATGGGGATAAGATTAACTTTTCTCTTGACAAGTATGCTTCGGGCTTCCAGGCTGAGGTATTTGCAATCCTCAAGGATATGGACTACGTGGTGGAAAATAGGTGGAGCGGAAGGAGTTTACATGACGACCAAGCTGCACTTAACGCACTACTTACTTCCAGACTCTGAGTGCCAGTTCAATCGGGAGTACCTCCTATCATCCATAACTATAATATTTATCATATCATGAATTTCAATTTGCGTTATTGCGCATATCGAAGACAAATTTCCTTTTAATTTTGTAAATATTTTTTGTTTTACAATTAATAAATGATTATTGAGGACTAGGTATTGCAATGAAACTACCTTCTTTTTTGTATTATGGTAATCTCTAAAATTACAAAAAAGGCAGAGTCTTACATTTTATATATATGGGAATTCTCATTAGTAATTCGACAGTGCATTAGACGGAAGCTGACCAGCGCCTGTCCAAAATCGAGATTTATTTCCGGCCGGGAACCTGTCCTTATACATAGTATCTATATATTTACATATTTATGCATGTATGTATATATGTATGTATGTATCACCAAAATTGATTGTGCATCTTTGACAAAGTGAAGTGAACTAGTAATTCAATTAGACGTTGCCTATTTAATATTAATGCTGTCTGGTCAATACACGCTAATTAGTTTTTCACTCTTTGCATAATAATGCAATTACTTATTGTAAATAATTTAAT